ATTCAATTCTATTTATTTATATAGCGCCACATCACAACAACAGTTGTCTCACAGCGCTTTCCAAACAGAGCAGGTCAGACCTACTCTGAAGTTAATCACAGAAACCCAACAATTCCCACCAGATCTCAGTTCTTTTTAAAATGATCCAAGATAAAAGATACGGCTATTAATCAACGTATTTTCCGCACTATGAGGCACCTAAAAGCCCTCAATTTTCTCAAAAAATGAGAGTGGGCCTTAAAGTCAAACTAAATCACTGACATTATCCACCACCTATTTTGACCTATGTATATACATATAGTTTTTATGGATATATCTATCTATATTATATGAGGAATTTTGTATATATATATATATATATGTGTATGTACACACATGTATATATGTATATGCCGTATTATTAAAGTATTTCTGATTCTCATTCTGATTAAATATTGATCAGGATTGAGTTGCAACAGGTCTAACTAGCAACTATGGGAAGCAGCTGCCATATCCATTTTTCCCGTAGAAGAAGAAGTAAAGTAGAAGAAGTAGTGCGCAGTACATGGGCGGCAAAAAGGCGCCCTCTTCTGGGGATCCGCAGTACTGCGAAATGTCAATATCTGTTAGTACCCATTTTAAAAGTGGATGCAGTGAGAGAAGGTGGCTGTTTAAAAATGTGGACATTAAAGGGTTAGGGTTAGGGTTAGGGTTGAGGGGCCAAAGAAAGACTTCAGACTAAAAAAATCCAACATTCTTCCTATTTTTCTTGGATCAGGCTTTAAAGGGATATATACAGAAACAATTCAAGGTGCGCCTTATAGTGCGGAAAATATGTAAGTATTCTCCCGGTTTCTCCTCTGGATAGCTTATTGTCATAGTGATGATAAATGGAATATTATGTCTGCTCTGTACGTCACAGAGTAAAAGCGTCTGCTAAATGCAGAAACATAAACACATAAACATTATATGTGGAAACAATTTTGACATAGGCCTGTTTACTCAAGGTGCGCCTTATAGTGCGGAAAACAGGGTATGTGTATGTTGTTTATGTTTATGCATTTGGCTGACGCTATTATCCAAAGTGACTTACAGAGTAGACACAATATTCCATTTATCATCACTATGACAATAAGCTATCTAGAGGAGAAACCGGCAGAATACTTACCTATTTTCCACACTATAAGGCGCACCTTGAATAGTTTCCATATATAACCCTTTAAAGCCTGATCCAAGAAAAATAGGAAGAATATTGTATTTTTTAGTCTGAAGTCTTTCTTTGGCCCCTCAACAACATATGAAGAAATAAAAACAGAAATTATTTTGATCAAATTAGCGTGCAATAAGTCAAAAATATATGTTGGTGTAGTCTTCTACTGGCTGTTATCAGGTATATCTGAATGTGTACAACAGGGGTTTGAGCAAAGCTTTTACCACTGAATGATGCAAAAAGTCTCAGATCCAAAAGACTTCAGAAACCATATCTATCAAATACAACACTGATCAGAGTCAGTGGTGAGATAGAGATAGAGGTAGAGGGGACCCCAGAGGAGGCTAATATGAATTAGCCAAACGCAGGTTGATTTTCACCTGTGAACCCGACGGAAGCAGCAGATGGTGTCCTCCCATGCCCGGCTTTCCGGCGGCCATGCTGAGGGTGGGGGGCAAAGCCAGGCCGAAGGGGGGGAAGGACGGGTACGCCGGGAGGGTCGGAGGCGGGAGGGGGCACGGCAACGCCGAGTCAGAGTCCTGGAAAACCAGAGAGAGGCCAAGGTTAGAAGCGAGATTAACGAACTTCTGCGTCTAAAATAGTGTTTTTCAACCACTGTGCCTCGGTACGCTGGTGTTTCCTATTTCACCTAATTGGTCTAAAAAGGTTTTTTGATAAGGAATTAATTATCTGCAAATAATGTGCCATTTCTGAGTGTATGTGCTGTTCTAGTGACTGGTGGCGTATTCATGTAATAATTCCTTATGACTAGATTTTGTATTTATTTTTGCCTATTGAAGTGGACATGTTAAGTGCAATTTGACAGAAAAAATATAAAATATGATTAAATTAAATTTTTGTGTTTATTTTGATTCCTATTAAAGACACTTAGGATAAGATAAGAATAACTATAGTGTTACTATAGGCGGCTACAGATTTGTTTGACATTTTTGGTTCGTGGTGTGCCTCGTGATTATCCAATGTGCCTCAAAAAAGGTTGAAAAACACTGGTCTAAATACTAAGACGGGAACGGTGGTGAGAAATCCTACGTTATCGGATCCGGACAGCGAGGACACGGAGGAGGCGGAGGAGTGCTGCTGGGAGCTGGGGATGGACATCGGGGAGTCCGCGCTGTGGGGGGAAACAGAGTCCCTCTGCTGCTCCTCAGAACCCACCACGCCCCCCAACACACAGGGGTCCTGATCCCGGACCGGCTCCTTCGGGGATGAAACTGTGGAAATACAATAGAACGTGTTGCTTAGCTTCCAACTAGGCTCTTCCTTCTGTATTTACATAAAAATGTGTATTAGCCGGCAGGAGAAAATGCAGATCCAGACTCCTGATCCAGTTTTTTTAAGTCCAATCGGGGGTTAATAGACTATTTTCTATTCAGGTTGTTTGTGTGTTTTGGCTTTTTAATACAGTTTACAATATTATTTGCAATTTTAACTGTTCACTGATGCCACTTCCGTTTGTTATCTATGATTTTGTCTATTTTGTATTTATTCCTGAATAATGTTTATGGTCATATATATGCATTTAGACGCTTTTATCCAAAGCGACTTCGGAGTAGACACAATATTACATTTATTATCACTATGACAATAAGCTATACAGGTCAGTGTCTCTTTGTGTATTATTTGCGTATCATTCAAACTCCCCTAATTCTGCTGGCTAGTTGTTATCAGAGTAAATCCCTGTTCAACATGAGTCTGACAACTAAGTAAGTAGAATAAATAACTTTAACTCATGCTCTGATAGGCCGGGATCGGATCGGAAGTGCAAAAAGCTGGATCGGGACATCCCTACTTCCAACAGTATGCTTCGTTTTTTCATGCGTCTCTCAGCGTTATGACTTAGCTTAGCTTCCAACTAGGCTCGTCTTTTTGTTTTTGCAAAAAACTGCCGGCATGAAAAGATGCAGATCCAGACTCCAGATCCATTTTTTTTAAGTCCGATCCGAGTTAATAGACTATTTTCTATTGAGGTTGTTTGTTTGTTTTGCTTTTTCAATACAGTTTACAAACTTTTTTGCACTTTTAACTGTTCACTGATGCCATTTCAGTTTGTTATCTACAATTTTGTTCATTTTGTGTTTATCCCTGAATAAACAGGTCAGTGTCTCTTTACCAACCAGTTTGTGTTATTCAAACTCCCGTAATTCAGCTGGCATTAGCATCTGTAACCCACAGGTCTGTGTCCTAAGCATTAAGTTGTTATCAGAGCATTAGCATTAGCATTAGCATCTGTAACCCACAGGTCTGTGTCCTAACCATTAAGTTGTTATCAGAGCATTAGCATTAGCATCTGTAGCCCACAGGTCTGTGTCCTAACCATTAAGTTGTTATCAGAGCATTAGCATTAGCATCTGTAACCCACAGGTCTGTGTCCTAACCATTAAGTTGTTATCAGAGCATTAGCATTAGCATTAGCATCTGTAACCCACAGGTCTGTGTCCTAACCATTAAGTTGTTATCAGAGCATTAGCATTAGCATCTGTAACCCACAGGTCTGTGTCCTAACCATTAAGTTGTTATCAGAGTAAATCCCTGTTCAACATGAGTCTGACAACTAAGTAAGTAGAATAAATAACTTTAA